GGGACCTTGTCTAAGTCATAGGCCTCCCTGAGGAAGTGACATCTTAGGCAAGATGAGATTCTTAAGAGTTAGCTGGGTGGGGCTGACAGGGATGGGTGTTTCAGGCAGTGGAGTCAGTATGTGCAAAAGTTCTAAGGCAGGAAGGAGGTGGGGAGGGGCTGCAGCACAGAGATTGAGAGGGAGAGTAGGCAGATGAGCAAAGACCTGAAGGGAGGCAGGAGAGAGAGGGACTGCATGAAGATCTACAAAGAGAATTCCAGAAAGAGGGCACAACCCAAGCAAATGTCCTGTCAGAAGTGTGCCAGGTGTGTATGCAGGACAGTGCGAAGGCTGGTGAAGCTGGAGCAGAGTGAATGATAGGGGAAACCAGGGAGGTCATGGGGCCAGATGATGCTGGGCTTTGTGGACCACTGTAAGGACTTTGGATTTGACTTTGAGTGTTTTGCAAAACTTTTAGGTTTTCACGAAATCCTTCTGGCTGCTGAGATGAGAATAGGATGAAAGAGGAGAAGGGAACAGGCAGGGAGGAGGCTGGTGCAATGTCTAGGTGCCCATTTGGGGCAGGCTCCATGCTGGAGCTGGGCCAACAGAGGGACCACATGTAACCCCTACCCTCCGGGTGTTCCTGTGTGGGAAGCAGGATTATGCTGTGCCCAACCAGCAGGTCCCCAAGCCAGGGTGCGGGTGCTGGGTTGTGGGAGCTCTGTGGAGGTCCTCTGGGCTTTCTAACTGCTGCACTGCCAGCATGCTGCACAGGCCAGGGAAGTTGCCATTACCAGAATGGTCTGTTTTGGTGTGGCTTGGCAAGGCATCCCCAAGGAGGTGACACAGAGTGAGGCTTCCAAAAATGAATTTAATAGGCCAGAAGGTGAGACATGTGGCCCAAGGAAGGGGAACAGCATGCACAAGACGTGGACATTGAAAGGACCTGGAGAAGGCGGTGCCCATGGGACAGGTGAAGTATGGTGCTGGGAAGGCAGCAGGGGCCTGAGTGCTTGTTTGGGAAGTTATACTTTATCTTGGGTGTGCAGCCCTAATTGCTCCTCAGCCTGTCTGGGCTTCATTTCTCCACCTGTCAAATGGGGCTAAGGGTTGAGACAAGGATTTAGTGAGGTAGTTGAGGACATATCAGATACTTTGCTGGGTACATCAGCTGTCACGTTCAGTAGCCATGGGAGGAGTTGAAGCAGGGGAATCCCCTGCTTGTCTGTACTGGAGAAGGGAGGCCCCAGCTTCAGGTGCAAGGCTTGGTGAAAGGAAGGCAGCATAGAAAATAAGCCCTGGCCCTGAGGTGCTTGGGGTGTCCAGGAACACCAGTGCCTTATAAGCACCCAGATCTCTGCTGTGCACCCAGTCTTAGGAACACACAACAGTCTGGGTGGCTGAGCCATAATTGGATTTTCCTAGCAGCTGTTGGAGCTAAGCAGGCCCACCTGATGCAGCCACGCTGGCCAGCAATTGGTGAAATTAGCAAGTCGACAGGGGCAAAGGTCAGGTGGTTAATGCTGTAGCTTTGATGAAGTTAGTCCCACTGCAGAACTGAGAACTGGGGTTTGGCCTTCTGTGTATCTTGGGGCTCCCCTGCCACTTGGATAATGTGGTTAGGGGACCTCCAGCTGCCAGCTTGTTCCAGGGGCTCCTGGAGGGAGGACCTAGGGAGCCAGAGCATGGAGGTGCAGCTGAGCAGCGAGGTCACCTACTATGTCCTCCTGGACAGGACACTTGCAGTACCTGAAGGGCTTTGTGACCCCTAGAGATTTGGGGGTGATGCCCCTTGGTTTCCTAGAAGGCTTTGACAAGCTCTTCTGGGGAAATCAGGACCCAGGCCCACCTGTAGGTTTTTAGTGCCCCCACAATGGGTGCTCCTCATCCCAGCTCCACATCTGGAAATGGGGATGAGTTCCTCCCCAAGTCTGTCCATGATCAGGCTCCACCCTCCCCAGAAGTTCAAGGCCTCCCAGCATTTTCTCCCATCATGGCCCTCAGAGCTTATCCTCTGAGCATACTCCTTGGTTCTTGCTGTTCCGTGGAATAGTCTGCTTCCACCTTCACTTCATATTACTTATTGGACACCTGCTACATGCCAGGCACTGGGCTAGGAGCTGAGATGCATGGCTGAGCAAAATTTAATCAGGTCCCAGCCCAGCAGCACTCCCAACACCTTTCTCAGCCATGCCCACACTCCTCTCTTTCCAGCCTGGGAATGAGAGACCCTGTCACTAATCAACTTTGAACCCTGAAACCTGGAATCACTTTTTCTAACTTTATTTCAGTCCCCAAGGAACAAGGAATTACCAGCATACTGATCCTTCACACACACACACACACACACATACACACACACACACGCAGACGCACACGCACACGCACACGCACACGCACACGCACACGCACACGCACACGCACACGCACACGCACACGCACACGCACACGCACACGCACACGCACACGCACACGCACACGCACACGCACACGCACACGCACACGCACACGCACACGCACACGCACACGCACACGCACACGCACACGCACACGCACACGCACACGCACACGCACACACGCATATACACACCTACCTTTAGCTGTTACTGACAATATTATTATTATTTTAAAGAAAAATCCTTCGGAGTCAATAATTTGGATGAAATTCTGGCTCAGCCACTTGCCAGCAGTGGGACTCTCCATGCCTCAGTTTCCTGTTGGAAACTGAATAACGGGTCAGCGACTTCCCAGGATGGAGTCTCCAACCTTCTCCCACTCTAGCCAACATCTCTAGACCAACCCCAGGCTGCTCCTGCCCCTCTGCCAGGGCAGGGACTGGAGCTGAACACAAAGTGGGATCAGAAGATCTGACCAGAAGAGCTGTCCCCTCCCTGAGGGCACATGAGACTTCCTAGGCACTTTCTAATTAACACCTCTGGTCACACAAAGCTTGGGGCCTATCCACTGCTGAAACAGCAGGATCTCGCCAGCCTGACTTCCTTCTTCTCTTTAAAGCAAAATTATTCACTCCAGTTTCCAGGGTTATGCATCTTCTTATTTCTAATTGGGGCAACAGCTCTGGATCTGCTCCTGAAGAGGGGTCCCAGCTGAGTGTGTCAGAAAATGTGAGGCCTGTGCCTTTTGTGGCTCCTTCAATGCTTTGGTGCCAATATTGAGGACGCAATGCTGAGGACAGAACACTGTGGCCCAAGTGTAGAGACTTCACCCAGGTTCATGGACAAACGTCCATAAGCATGCCCATACAAACATCTTACAATGCCCTGAGTTAGGTGATGGAGATTAGCAATAAGAAATTAGAGCTCCTATTTATGAGGAGTTCACAGTCTCCTGGGACTGCAGACTATAATCAAACCATCTGTCAATTCTCCGTTATTGCATATACACGGAGAGAAAGGTGTACCTAGCACCCACACATGTGACCCTTGGGCTACAGACCTCACCCTCCATGTAGGGGATCTTGGGAGTCATTTAGGAAATTATACAAGTCCTCAGAACACCTACCAGGAGTTCTCACATGGATCCATGGTCTTATCTGCCCACAGCAGCTCTGTGTATCCATGAACTTCCTCTCCTGTTGCCCCCTGCCTACAGCTGACAAAACTACTCAAAGGATGCCCACCACCACCTCTGCTAGAGCATCATGCCCAGAGCCTACCTTGACTCTGAAGGCTGCCCACCCTCGGGGCCCAGCAGTGAGCACCACAGAGGCAGGCAGAAGCCTCCATCTTAAACTATCTCTGGGGCTTGAGCAGGCCCAGTTCTTGTCTCCCATTGCCTGCTCCAGCACCCACTTCCTCTCAACGGTGGGCCCCATTTTGGCCTGCTTGGGATCACCAACATCCCACAACACGCAATACTCACACATCACACCCTCACACACATCACACCTCCCCCACACCATATCATGCACCTCACCACACACACACCACACCTCCACACACCACACACACCACATCACACTCACAAACATCACATCATGCATACCACACACATACACCACACAACCACACACACCACACAGCATACACAGCACACCACCCCCACGCACACATCCAGAAACATTCATTCTTCCAACAAATATGTGCCCTGCCCCTATGGACATAGCAAATAGACAAAATAGGTGCAGGCCTTGCTCCCTTGGACCTCAGTTTGGTTGAAGTTGTACCCATCTCTCAAACAGTCACACAGGTGAATACATAAGGGCCAGGGAGAAACGGGTCAGGGGCTGTGAGAAAGCAGAGCAGGTATGTGGGGAGCTAATTCAGAATAGGGTAGCAGGGAAGGACTCCTTGAAGAAGTTATGTTTGAGCAAAGGCCTGAAGATAAGTGGGCATTCACTAGGAGAGAGGCATGTATGAAGGCCCTGAGGGTTTCAGGCATTTGGTACAGTGGAGGAATAGAGGGGAGGCCAGCATGGCTGCAGCTCAGAGAGTGAGGGTTGTGGGGAGGTGAGGCCAGGAAAGTGGGCAGGGTGAGGTCACCAGGGCCTTATGGTGAGGCTGAGGCCTGAGGTCTTTATGCTTAGAGCAGAGAGAGCACTGAAAGTTTAAAGCAAGGCAGGTAATATGATGCCAAGTGGGCTTTGGCACCACAATCACACAAAGAATCACTCCAGGTTCAGGGGCTGAAAGTTGAAGCCAAAACTCTGTGAGAATAACGTGGCTGCACGGGAGTCAATGGTGGGTGTGGAAGCATGGGTTTGAATTGAGATGGAGTGATGGTCATGGCATTTGTCAACCCAGATGACACAGACAAGAGATCATAAATTGCCTACAGAACCACCCCTATGCTCCCCACAAATACAACCAGATTTGGGAGGCAGCACCCACACACCTGGAGGCACAGGCTCCTCTGCGTGTCTACTCGTGCCCAGCCAGCATCGTGCAGGTCCACTAAGATGCCCACCACCCCCTATAGCTAAGCCAAATGTTTCCATGAACTCATTTGGCACATTTATTAACCATCAGCCTGCAGTTGTGGCCAGGCGGCAGATGCAGGGCCCGAGTGGCCATGCTTACTTGTTGTCCACCCGTTTGAGCTGCTCCTTGCCATTGATGGTCACTGACTTGAGCTGCCCATCCTCTTCCACCTCCACACGCTCCTGCCCATTCTCCACAATGCGCTTGGTGGTGACCTTGTGTCCATTGACCATCTCGGTGGATGACATCACCGACTTGAACCCTGAGCTGCCAGAGCCGGAGCCCCCAAAGGAGGTGGACGAGAAGGTGGTACGGCTGGCGCCGCCACCACGGCCCAGTGTGTCGAAGGCTGAGAAGGCCTCCATGAAGGCTGGGAACTCACCAAAACCAGCCGAGAAGGCGCCCCTCAGGCCATGGCCTCGGCCAACACGGTCACTGTTGAAGGGGGTGTCCCAGAAGTCAAAGGAGAAGGGGTCCAGACCACCAAAAAACTCACGGAAGATGTCCTCAGGGTTCCGGAAAGTGTAGCCGCTGTCAAAGGGGCTATTGTAGGGGGTACTGGCCCCGCCGCCAGCCCGCCAGCTGTCACAGCCTGCCCGGTCATACACAGAACGCTTCTTGGAGTCAGATAGGACCTCGTAGGCCTCAGACACCTGCTTAAACTTCTTCTCAGCCTCCTCCTTGTTGTCAGGGTTCTTATCAGGGTGCCATCGCAAGGCCAGCTTGCGGTAGGCCTTCTTGATGTCCTCTGGGGAGGCGCTTGACTGTACCCCCAGCACTTCATAATAGTTAGCCATACCGAGGAGGGAGCAGCAGCAGAGGTGGGTGAGAGGGTGAAGTGGGCTCTGGGGCCCAGGTGATTGGGATGGGCGTGGAAGAGGCAGCAGGTGGTCCCTCAGCAGGGGACTTGCTGGACTCTGCTGGCTTTGGGCGTGGCTCTGCCCAGTGAGTTTACCTTTTCATAGTACCAGCTCTCAGGGACAGGTGGGCACCTCTACTGAGAGGGGTGGGGGGAGGGGAGGGACACTGCCACTGTGGGGCCAGGCCAGGGCAGGCCACCCTACAGAACTAAGACCAGGCCCTTTATGACATCAGCCCCTGGGTGGGGCAAACTCACCCCAGCTCTGGACTGCACAGTGCCAGGCCTGTTGGCTTGCCCCTGTGAACAAGGTGGGCCACCACAGTGGAGCTGGGTCACAGTGGGGCTGTTGGCTGAACCTTGCAGTCAGCCACAGGACCCTGGACCAGGTGGGTAACAAAGGTTAGTGATGGTAGTCAGGGGAGGGGAGTGAGGGCTTCCTGATATATGTCCACTTAGCCCAATGGCTGGGTTGTTGGTATGAAGTGAGGGGGCCCAAAGCAGGGGATCAGGCAGGTAGGGACAGTAGTTCATTCTTCTTGTGGCTCATTATCCCATCAGATTCTCAGACGTAAGCCTTGCAAAGTCAGAGATGTTTGTCAGCATCTAGGACAGTGCCTGGCAATCAGTTCAACTTATTGATTGAATGAAGTTCAGAGACATGCAGCAACGTACTCAAGGTCACACAGCAAGTCAGTGAGAGAGAGGCAGATGCAAACCCAGGGTTGTCTAAGGCTGTAGTGGACAGAAAATTAAAAGAAGCATTCCACTCAATTCTGGAAGGAAAAATAAGGATTAAAAATAAATATAGATTAGTGAGTGTAGTGGTTTGAATATGTCCCTGTCCTAATGGCCAGAATATGTGAATGTGACCTTATTGGGAAAGGATCTTTGCAGATGTAATTAAATTAGGGATCTCAAGATGAGATCATCCTGGATTATCTGGGTTGGTCCTGAATCCAATGACAAGTGCCCTTATTGAAGACTCACAGAGAGACACACTGAGAGAAGAAAAGGCAATGTGAAGATGGTGGCAGAAATTGGGGCAATGCAGTGCAAGGAAAGGCAACAGTCACCAGGAGCTGGAAGGTGCAACGATGGATCCTTCCTCAGAGACTCTGGAAGGACTTCAACCCTGGTACGCAGTCTACTGTATACATGTGGTCATGATGACAGTGACTCTGATGAAGTTGGTGTGAGTTGTGGATGTGGGCATGGTGATAATGGTGATGATGCAGGTGATGGTGATGGTGTGACGTCATAGATGGAGTTAGACGTGATAATGATAGTGATGATGATGGTGGTGGTAGAGTTAGAGGTAATGGTGAGATATAGTAGTAGTGGTGGTGGTGGTGGTGGTGATAGAGGAAATGATGATGGTGATGAGGAAAGTGGTGGTATGGTGACACTGGTTAAGGTGGAAATGGTGGTGACACAAGTGGTGGTGATAGTAATGGCAGTGGTAATAATAGTCATGTTAATGGAGATATTGGTTGAGGTGAAGATGATGGTGGTGATGGTGGTGGTAATGGTGATGACAATGTGTATATTGGTTGTCATGGTAATATGGTGTTAACAGTGATAGTAACGAAACAGGTAGTGGAGATGGTGATGATGATGGAGGAGATGTCAGATGAGATGATGATTGTAGTGATGAAAGTGGTGATGATGATCATAATGATGTTGGTGATGCTAGTAATAGTGATGGTAATGATGGTCATAATGGTGATCTTAGTAGTGGTGATACTGGTTAAGGTAATGAAGTTGATGTCAGACATAGGATGTGAAGGGGTGATGGGGGGTGGTGTAATAATAGTGATGTGGTGTAATGTGATGGTGATACTGGTTGAGGTGGAGATGGTCATAGTGAAAGTGATGGTAATAGTGACGATGGAGATGATGATGAAGGTTTGAATGATGGCGTGTTTATGGTGATGGAGATGGGGTTTGTGATACTGGTGAGGGGGTTGATGACAATAGCATCACTACAAGTGAAACTTGAGGGTGCCATAACAGTGTAATCAAGACAGTGTGTGAGTGGTTACAACAATGTTAGTAGACAAGGGACCCAGGATAGTGAGGTGCCCAAGAATCCTACAGATACTTCCTCTGACCCAGACTCCCCTCTCCTCGCTTTGCCTGAGACTCTCACCTCCACTGTCCTCCCAGGGAGGAAATTTCTCTTAGCTCCTGCTGTTCCAGAGACTTTTAGCGGGTTCTGTGCTCTGCTCCACACCCAGACCCTATTTTCAGGCTGAAGCCCACCTTGGGATGGGTCTGTAGGAGGCAGATGGCATAGAGACAGGGCTAGAGACTCCCATCATATCCCCTGGGTCAGAGCTGTCCCAGAGCACAGCTCCTTATTACTGAAGGTGTTCTGAAGATAGAGAGTCCTCTGCAGTTTCCCAAGGTGACAGTGGGGCAAGCTCTCCATAAAGGAAGATATGGAACCTGGTGACAGTATGCAGAGGTGATTTCTCCTTCTGCAAAGATGGAGGAATAGGGAGGAGTGGGCATGAGCATTAACTCAGGCCTCCACACTCTTGACTCTCACAGGCTGATCAGTCACTTTCCCTCTCTGAGCCTCTCTGTTCTTATTTGTCAGCGGGTTGGTAAAACTCCTCCCTTTCAGAGCTTCCTCCCCTCTGGGGAGCCAACCTAGTCTCCCTGGCCTCCAACCTCTGATCTCCCCAGTCTCAGGTCCACCCTAAACCCAGCCCCCCTGAGCCATGGCCTGGGAAGAGAGAGAGGACCTTGAGTGACCAGGTGATCTCAGGCAGAGCCTGACCTAGTGCACGGGAAGGCCCAGAGAGGTCAGAGCACGACCAAGGCCACACAGCAGTCCCAAGGATCCTCCCCAGGGTGAGCTGATGGAGGCCAATTAGGCAACCAATTGGTATTCTGAGCAGCTAGAGGCCCCTCTCTGTCTCTGTAATTAATGGAGTGGCTTTTTAAAAGGATTCTAATCACCCCGATTCCTATCTGCTTATCACTAGTGTTCCTAATTAGATGATCCTGGCAGTCACTTGGCTAATTCCCTTCAGCCCCATGCAGCCTTGCCCAGCCTGGGGCAGCTCATCTCACCCCCACATCCACCCCAGCCCAGACAGATGGGCAGTTCAGGCCTTCTCTCCCCTCAGGGCCCCTGGTTCTCTAACTACATTACCTTCAGGATGGATGGGCGACAGCAATGGATGGATGGGTCACTGGATAGACAGTGACAGGTGAGTGAAGGGACTGAATGAACAGCTATGAGGGTACATGGATGAATGAAAAGACATATTGTGAGGTTAAGAGCTTGGCCTATCAAGTCAGACAGCTCTGCCATATACTAGCTGTGTGTTCTCAGTGAGGTCACTTAATCTCTCTGTGCCAGTTTCCTCATCTCGTGGAGGTAGTATTTTCCTCACATGGTTTCTGTGAGGACAGCTTAGAACAGAGAAAGTGTTTTGTATATGTACTTGCTAGCATAATGATGACAATGTTGATAACAGTGCATAGAAAGATGGCTGAAAAGATAGAGTGACAGATGAGGGAAGGGAAAGAATCGTAGATAGACAGGTCCATGGAAGAATGAGTACGAGGGTAGACGTACACGCAAATTGGTGGGCTTATGGAAAGGCAATTAGGTGGTGGGTGACTAAACAGGTGGAAGGGACTGTGAATGCTCAATGTCAGACAGGGAAGTATGGGAAATAGGAGACAACCCCTTTCCTCCAGAGGTAACAGGACGATTTCAGCTCAGGTCTCAGCACAGACCTGGCTCAGACCTGCTTTCCTCCTTAGGACTTCCAGGAAAATTTGCTGCTCAATACTCCCAGCCAATGTTGACAGGCTCCCACTGGGTCCTTGCAATTTTTCCCTCCCCATCTTGACCCAAGTAATGCCCTTCTTGGTGAAAGCCCCTGTAATCTCTGGAGGCTCAGATCAGGTCTCAAGCAAGAGCATCATTTTTGGAACCCCATCTGAGTTCCAAAGTGCACCAGTCTATTAGGACAAACATTCTCCCCTCCCCTCCCATAGTGCCCTAGTCCCCAGCCCATCTCTGCATGGAGTCACCCTGGGCAAGACTCTGATCCCAATTCCAACAGCAGGTCCTAAACCTCTAGGAGAATTCAACCTCCAGAGCCTCCCCACATACCCATGGGCCTCTGCAGCTTCTGGGTGTGAGATTTCTTGGAGCTTTCTGGAAAGTGTATAGAACAAAGAAGTCTAAAGTATCTTCCAGAATCAAGGCCTGCATGCACACATTCACATCAGCCATTCAACCATCTACCCAACTACTCATCCATCCAACTATCTATCCATCCACTCATCTACCTATTTGTCCCACATGTTTCTTGAGCTTCTATCCACACATATGCTGTGTGCCAGGAACTCTCCTAAGTGCTGCAGGTATATATGCCAGTGAACACACTAGACAAGTGTGCCTTCATGGAACTGACATTTAGTGGGGAAGATACAAGAAACTGATAACTAATGAACATTTAATATAATGTCAGGTACCACCGATAGGTACCAAGGAGAAAAGCAAAGCAGAAAAAGGACTTAGAGAATGATGGGGCTTCTCTTTTAGACAGGATAGTCAGATAGAGCACCCCACACCTCCACATGCATACTCAGGCACCTATGACCTCATGTGTTTGTATATACCTGTACAGACAAACACACACATGCACACATGTGCACCCAAGCACACACATGTTCCTAAACAAGGTCTGCAGCCCTGCTGTGTGTGTGCCCGGGTGGTGTCTCTAAAGGTACCCCTACTGGCCCCAGCTGGGGAGGTCCAGGGCTGTTTCCCCCTTCTCTAACCTGACCTCTCCATCCCCCACCCCTAGGCCCTGGAGGGTGGGCAGGACCTGTGACTTGATATAGCCCATAGAATGTGGCAAAGGCAATGAGATGTCATTCCTGAGTGCAGGACATTAGATAAGAC